TCCACACATGGAATCATATGATTTTTCACGTGGATTCTGTTGTGAGATTATCAAGAGTGTGAAATAGTAGGAATTGCTGTAAGGGCAGATCTGCTGCCCTGAAGCTCAGTGACAAATCCTTCCATCTATTCAATGATTCCAGTTACGACTCATCACAAAATCCACTGTCACAGAAAACTTCTTAATGGCAAAGTATCTGAAAACAACTTGGTATTTTTATTCCTGACCTTAGGGTTCTATTTGTGAAGTGGGGGTAGTGATTAAGATCTTGAGTTAGGTTAAAAAAAAATGTGTGTATATATATATATATATAATATATATATATAACATACACATATATGTAATATATACACATATATTTTATATATATAATATATACACATATATTTGTGTGTGTGTATATATATATATATATATATATATATATTACTTGGGAAGAATTTACCATAAAATTGACTTAGTGGCAAAATTAACATTTTCCATCTGTTAAGAAAAAAATATACTACTCTAACAAGCATTTTGCTTTTAGAAAAGTACACATTTAAGAATATGTTCTTTTTCAATTGCCTTAGGGATAGATAGCTGAGGACAGGGCTGACAGGGAGACTTTGGACCGCATATTCATATGCACTTTCTGGATTGAGGTATTTAAATATAATTTTATAAAGGGGGAAGAAAGAAACCTAACAATGCATTTGCTATTGGGAAATAAGACGAGGGGCCCCTGAGTGGCTCAGTGGTTGAGTCTTTGGCTCAGGTCGTGATCCTGGGATCCGGAATCAAGTCCCACATCTGGCTCAAGGCAGGAAGCCTGCTTCTCTCTCTGCCTATGTCTCTGCCTCTCTCTGTGTGTCTCTCATGAATAAATAAATAAATCTTAACAAAAAAAAAAAAGAGGAAATAAGATGAAAATGTCCTAGATAATAAAAGATGGAAAATAGGACTGGGACCAAGAAGTTAGTCACCTTAGTCACCTACTTAGTTCATATACCACCCTCTCTAGCTCCCAAAATATTTAATTCAAACTGATAGTTGTTTTATTTTTATTTTTGTTTTGAGAGTGAGGGAGTGGTAATCTATCTCAAAAAAAAAAAAAAAAAAGGGTGGGTCCTCTTCAGCAAGACCTTTATTCTCCTCTACTCAAATCCCATTAACACTAATCAGCACAATGATGAAACGCATTGTGGTTAAGTACTCTAGTTGATAACCATCCTTTGGAAAAAAGGTTCCCATAGCGACAGGTAAAGGCAATCATCAAACTTAGTTTTTCAGAACAAGACTTGGTGTCACAGATGGAAGAGTTAAGATTGTTTTAGCATTAGTCTGGAGCCTTGCTTTTTCAACTTCACTTGACTTTATCCACTCAAAAGACACTTAGGAGAGTCTCTGTATACACCAGGCACAGTGCCAACATCAGGGGCCAGGAGAGGTAGGAAAAGGACCTCAAAGATAAGATATGGTTCCCCCCCCCTCCCAAGAACTTCAATCTGCTGAGGAAAGCAGCTACTAATGACATTATGATGGTAATTCTACCCCTCAATCTATAACCAAGGCTTGTGCTCCCCACTAGGAATGGTCAGTTTCTAGACTAGTTTCACTTTCCCATCTTCAAGCTGCAGCACAGCTGGGTTTCCAGCTGGCTAGAGAAGAAAAGATTCTTTAAATAAACAGCATTTTAAAAATATGCAGTCGCTTTTGCTATACTCAATTTTTGTGAACCACCTTTCTCTAATACGTGAATCTAGTTGTCAAATTAATTAAAAACTATCCTAAAGAAGGTAAAGTCCCCCTGGAATACACCTTTTCCATCTTTAACAACAAAGGATACTATACATTGGAAGAAAACTGAAATCAGAAAGTCCCAAAGGAAGAATGATTTTTTTTTACGCTATCTGCTGTGTCTATGCAACAAAGAGACAGCTTAAAACCATATATATAGGAAAGCAGCAAGATAGGGTGTGATTATACCAAAATATATGCGACCATTGTTAAAAATGCAGGACTAAAAAAAAAAAAAAATGCAGGACTATTTGCAGAACAGGATGCTTTTATAGCATTGTACCGAGTTGCTAATCCCTAAGCCTCCTTTCTAACTCTTTTTCCTCTCCCTGCCACAGAAGGCACATAAAACACCTCCCTGAATGCAAGCTTCTTAGAAATGCAAAGATTTTACTCAACTCTTTACCACCAGAGGTAGTAATTTTGGATGAATGATACACATGAGATCTATAAAAATACCCCTCTGGCAGATATTGCTATTCCAGCCAGACTTCACAGGCTTCAAATCAATATTACACAGTGGCAGTGAAATTAGCCATTCATAAGGACTTTCTAGAAAGGGTCTGGTATGACCCTTCATTGATGCTACTGAGGCATGTGCTAACTTTTAAGTTCAATATCCCTTCATATGATGCATTGGCCCAAAGTCCTGGCCCACCAAAATACACACCTTTCTAGATGATCTCCCTAGGAACCACAGCTCAGACACATTCAGAGCTAAAACTGGCTAAACAAAGTAACAATTCAACCACAGTTGCTCAATATAACCGGCATGATGACAGTTTCTGAGTGCCAGTTTCCCTATTTTGCAATGGGCAAATCTGCTCCAAGGAGAAAATGTTCCCAATGACCCTGTGGCCCAGAGGGCTTTCTTTAGAGATAGAAAACAGAAAATGAATTTGTTAGTTATTTCCTGCTGAGCACAAGGAAGGTGTTGTGGTTAGTTAGGATGATTTGTTTCCTTATTTAATATACTATCACCAGTGCATATTTTCCTTAACCCCATAGTAAAAAATAAGAAAATGCAGTTTATGCTCTGGCATCTAGTCACCAGTTCCATAAATTTCCTCTTACAAGTACGTCCTTTAATTTCTAATCCCCTTATATAAAACGCCCCCTCCCAAACTGACACAGATCTATATGCTATCAACTCAAACCCAAATTGTTTGCATTCTCAAGTGTTTACTTCAAGACTCACTCCTGCTCCTTGGCAATTTGCAGGGTGGGAAGGCCTTCTCTTTAGCAGGGATTGCAGCATTTGCCGAGAACTCTGCTACTACACATGCTACTTCAATAAAATACGGTGATCAGTAACCTGAAAGCACACAACAGTATTTCTGACCTCCAAATTGTTCATGATCTCTACATTCAACTCTCAAACTCTCACCAAAACAAACAAGGTATAATTGCTAAGGAGGGAAGGGGAGAAGTAGGAGGAGGAAGACAAGGGATTATCTGACAAAGACCATTGGGTCTCAGTGGACCAGACCAGGGATTATGTGGTGATGTGTACCATGCATGTTCAGTCAGGAGCAACACACTGAAAACCAAAACAGAAGCTGTCCTTGGACAAGGCTCAATAAATGTTTTTACTATCTATTGCCCACTGCACAATACAGTTCCACAGCTCCCCTCAGGATCTCAGATAAAATCCTTAACAAAATAAAAAATTAGAAATTCCTAACTGGTCCTGACTTGTTATCAGAAAACACTTAAGAGCACGAAATCAACATTAAAGAGCAGTCAACAGGATTCCTCAGAACAACGTCAGAGAGAGAAATTGCTGTTACCACCAAAGTTTTCCCCTCCTTATTAAGATACTTCACGATTCTTCTGATTGAAATGGCCACAGTTTAACATAGTGCCCAGATACACTGCCACTACTACATGAAAATTTGTCTCTTGAAGGACAGGGGCAGGGGATGGGGTCAGAGGAGGAAAGCTTCAAAAAGTCAAAGGCATTGATCTAAAAAGATGAGGGCAGCAAAACTTCCTATGAGCTGTTCCACATTCTTTGCTTCTCAAAGCCTATCTAGAACCCCTTGGTAAACTGGTAAACATGCCAACTTCGACAACAGTTCAGGACATCTATCATAATTCAGTGACTACACAGCTCAGAGTCACACAGCAAGCACCAAAATCAGCCTTAGTTGGGACAAAAGGAATAGCCACAAGACGAGCTAGCACCAAATACTCCAGTATGAGGACGATGTGGTTTGAAATTTCTCACTGAAAAATAAGTACTGGGTTCAGAGATGAGAAACAAAAGCCCGTAAGCTGATATGTCTTTGACTTTGGACAGGCGAGACCTCCACTCCTGACTAGGGAGATCCAGGGACTTCAGTGTTTTGTTTCTGATCACCTGCATTCCTGGGCTGCGCCCAACATCAGAAGGCTGAGAGATGCAGTCAACACATCCTGCCAGTAAGATGTCAGAGCTCGAACTTACAGCATTCAGCAGAAGTTGTTACTCTATGTCATTGTCATCACGATCAACGGATCTAGTAAAATCTCTCAGAAAACAGCCGAAAGATGGGTCTGCTCCCTTGTCCTGGAGGTTAAGAGAAGGCTGTGCTCACCGCCTCGCACAGATAGGCAATCACGGTGAAGAAAACCCCCGAGCCACACGGAGGACGAAAACAGTAGCAGAAAAAGTCCAACTCTGCCTGCGCCAGCGGTGTGGATGAGCAGAACCCGGAGCCCGGGAGAGGCAGGAGGGGGCGGGGGCACCATTCCCTGGGAGAACTTGTGAGCGGAGGCCTTCACCATCTGAGAGTCTGGCCAGCTGCTCCTGCAGACCCTGGCCAGCCGGAATGAGGCAGGCTCGTGGGAGCTGGGCAGGCGAGGCCTCCGAGGGTCACTCCTGACTCACCGAGCCTCGGGCCAGCACCACCCGGACTTCTCCGTTTTTCCTGCCGCTACTGGGCTATGATGGCAGCTTTCCAGCTCCACATGCCATACATCAGCCGCAGATCGCTGCTGGCACAAGCCAGCGCCTTCCCCCGCCCCCCACCCCTGGCACACTTTGAGCCTGATCCTCCTTCTCCCCGACCCCAACCGCCTCACCCACCCGGGCCAGGCGCCCTGCCCAGGGGCGGCCCCACCCCCCAGCAGCCGGGCGCTGCCAGGCCTGGGCACCTGCAGCACCTCCCCGCCCCACCCCCATTTTCCACCACCTCGCCCCTCCCCCCTTTCCCTAGCAGAGGGAGGGGGCGACTCACCGCAGTCAGTGCACAGGATCTTGCCCACCTCTTTCTTGAGGTTTTTGCCGTTCGTGTCGATGGGGGCAAAGGCCGTCTTAAAGACTAAGGGCTGCTCCGTGGGCTCCAGGAAAAAGATGTAGCGCTGGTTCCTTTCGAGCGGCGCACAGGAGCCCACGCTGATCACCTGCTCGCGCTGCAGCCCCCCGCTCCGGAGCGGCCACTTGTCCAGCACCTTCACCAGCGCCACCCGACCCGAGGCGGGCGGCTCGCGGGTGCTGTTGGAGCCGGAGCCGCCGGCCGGGGCCAGCCCCTGTACCTTGCCCTCCACCACCACGGGCGCCTTGTATGCCTGGTCCTGCACCGACTTGAGGCTAGGCGAGTAGCAAGCGAGCGACACACCGAAGAGCAGCATGGAGAAGCCGGGGGCCGGGTCGTGCCTCATGCCGCCGGCGGCTGCGGCTCGAGAGCGGGCGGCGGCTCTCCGGGCTGCGGGGCTGCGGGGCTGCGGCTGCTGCGGCGGCCGCGGCTCTGGGGGCGCAGCGGGACGGGAGATGCTGCTGTTGCTGCTGCTCCTGCTGCTGCTGCCGCCGCCGCCGCTGCTGCTGCTGCTGCTGCTCCTCTCGCTGCTGCTGCTGCTGCTGCTCCTCTCGCTGCTGCCGCTGCTGCTGCTGTCGCTGTAGCTGCTGCACCGAGCCTTCTCCAGTGGCGGCGGCGGCAGCGCTGAGCAGCAAACCTGCCGCATCTGGCCAGGCCATTTGGGGGGCTCCGCCGCTCCGCCGCCGCCGCCTTGGGAGGGGAAACAGAGCCCGCTAGAAAACCGGAAACAGCGTAACGTTAGCGCCTCGTAGCCCTCCGCCGGCAGCCGGGGGAGGCGGCCCAGCCAGGGCAGGGGACAGGCGGCGAGCCGGCCGCGATGCGCAGCGCGGAGCCGCGCGGCGCTCCCACCCTGCGCGCCAGGACCTGGAGGAGGATGCGGAGAATAGGACGCCCGCCCACTTGCTCTCTCGCGCCCCCTCTACCCCCGAACCGAGTGAGGAGCGCCGCTTCTGCAGGGGGAGCTCGAGACTGCACTGCTTTAGCGCCGGGTTTCTCGGCCCGCAGGGGCGCGGGAGGGATCGTTCTACCTTTGCTCCTGCGATTTATGGGCAGGACAGTGGGAGAGTACGTGGGGAGAGGGCGGAGTAGAGAAAAAGAATTCTGGCACTGTCCTATGAACGTGGGAGTGGGACACAGGGCGTGCCCCTGCCTTCGGCCAGCGGCTGGAACAGCCAGGGAGATTACCACCTCCTAGGTTGTCCCCTTCCCCGGGAGGACCCCAGAGGCCCGCCCCTCATCGAGCCCACGTGTTCGGTCCTGCCACCGCCTAGTGAGCTCTAGGGATTCAAGTGGAGGTGAAGAAGGATTCTAGTCCCGTCATTTTGGAAAGAGTTAGGGCGACGTGCAGTCTTGTCTCGGCATTGGGGACACCTAACTGAGCGTGGTGGCTGCAGAGGGTCCAGTCCCCGAGAGTCTTCTGGGCTTTCTGCACCGGCCAGGCAGGACCAGGCTACATGCTGTACAACCTCATCTTTTAAAAAGCTGTTCCCATGGGAAGTGGGGCTTCTTGGGGGCCAACTCCAGAGCCAGAGCCTGTCAGGGCCAGAGGCTTCTCCGCAGGAAATGGTTGCCTTTTTAAAAGTCTGGTCCTTGCGAGGGGCAGGAAAGTTTGATCCACTGGAGCCAACGTCTGATTTTAAGAAGCAAATCCATCATCCATTCTCCTCCTGTCAGCTCTAGGGAGTTTTCAATTCCCAGAGTATATCCTTGAAGGATGTGGAGCTCAGGAATTCCACTCAGGTCTTGGAAAGTTTTATCCCTGCCTGGGCCCTGCAGGAAATGGGCCCAGGGATGTCTGGCTCAGGCTTAGACCGCTATTCTGGAAAGGAAGGACACAGCTAGACCTTTCTGCTGGCTAAGAGACACCTCAAACTTAATTTAATATCCAAAGCCAACAGCATCGTTTCTCCCACCCATTCCAAATGCCCTATACTTGTTAATGGCAGCATTTGATACTTGGCCACCTGATCCATTCCAATAAGTCCCTTAGTCTCCTCTCATTCTGTTTTAGCCAATCAATCACCAAGTCTCTCTGCTGTACCTTTTAAAAAGTCTCCAGCATATCTAGCTCCTCTCCAACTCTGTTGTGAATGCCTTAGGTCTGAGTGTTCATCATCTCCCACCTGGACTACTGCAAAGCCTCCTAACTAGTTCCCCCACTGCCTGCCTCATCAGCCTCTTCCAGTCCTACCACTGTCAGAGTCATCCTTCTAAAAATAAAATGTAAATATGAGTTGGCTATGCCACTGCTCTCAGGAGTCAAGTCCAAACTCTTCAGCATGACTCTTCATGGGCTCCGTCTACCTAACCAGCTCTGTACTCTGGGAGCCAACCCTCTACCCTAGAAATTCAGCACAATGTGCTGTTTTGTGCTGTGCTTCTACATATAGTGTCTCTTGTGTCCAAAAGCCTCACCTCAGCCTTGCCCATCTGGAAAGTGATTCTTACCCCAAGGCCCAGCTCAGCATTATACCTCATGCCTCCCTTCCTTACATCCACCTCCATCCCAAGCAATGATGTATGTGACATGATGTAAAATCCCTTTCTCTTTCATGTAGTCATGTGCCTCATACATATTACTATTATGGCACTAACCTATACTAAAAGTAGCTGTTAGTAAGTCTGCATTAGAGCCATCAGACTAGGCACCTTAATGGCAGGACTATGTCATTTTAGTCTTCGGAGCCCATTATATCCAAATGGATGTCAGACACAGTGCCTGGCATAAAGTAAAGATCAGCAAATTTTCGGTGAAGAAAGGAGGGAAGGAAGAAAAGAATCAAAAATCATCTTTCTTGGTGCACCTAGGTGGTTCAGTGGTTGAGTGTCTGCTTTGGCTCAGGTCGTGATCCCGGGTTCCTAGGATCAAGTCCCACATTGGGCTCCCTGTGTGGAGCCTGCTTCTCCCTCTGCCTGTGTCTCTGCCTCTCTCTCTCTCTCTGTCTCTAATAAATAAATAAAATCTTTAAAAAAAAGAAAAAAAACTGAGCTGAGAAGAATTTGAAGGAGGGAGATTATGTGAGGTTACAAGTGTAAAGTGCTTAGAACAATGCCTGATACAGAGTAGGGGCCAAAATTAATGTTGATTATCACCGATAACTTTCTTCTACCAGTGGTTCCCCATCTTAGCATTGAGAATCTCTAAGCGACATGTAGTTAATGTATGTTTGGACTTTCTGTATATTAATAAATACAATCTAACTTTTCAATAGTAGATGGCACTGTGATGAATAAAAATACCCATTCTCTCTTTTTTTCACATATCCAGTTGAAAGTGTAAGACATTGTTAAGTATGAAGAACAGTGGAAAGATCTGCTATCGTTTTGTCTTTTGGTAAAGGACATATATGCAAGTATTTTTTTTTTTTAATTTTTTATTTATTTATGATAGTCACAGAGAGAGAGGCAGAGACACAGGCAGAGGGAGAAGCAGGCTCCATGCACCGGAAGCCCGACGTGGGATTCGATCCCGGGTCTCCAGGATCGCGCCCTGGGCCAAAGGCAGGCACCAAACCGCTGCGCCACCCAGGGATCCCTGCAAGTATTTTTAAAGCATAGATTACCTTTGAAAGGACACAGCAGAAATTGAAACAACAGTTGGCTCTGGGAAGGGCACTGCGTGGCAGAGTAGAGTGCAAGTTCTATTCCCTTTTGTACCTTGTGAATTTTCTATCAGGCTACTATACTATACTATACTACCTACTCAAAAAACATGTTTGAGAGGATCCTCTAACTTCTTATCATTGCTAAATTTTTGCCATGTAGGTTCTCAGTCAAAAGCTACTTAAGGGGCAGCCCAGGTGGCTCAGCGGTTTAGCGCCGCCTTCAGCCCAGGGCCTGATCCTGAGACCTGGGATTGAGTCCCACGTTGGGCTCCCTGAGTGGAGCCTGCTTTTCCCTCTGCCTGTGTCTCTGCCTCTCTCTCTGTGTGTCTCTCATGAATAAATAAATAAATCTTTTTTAAAAAGAATTCCTGCTCCTCCCTCTGCCTCTTTCTTTCTGTGTCTCTTGTGAATAAATAAATAAAATCTTGAAAAAAAAATTTTTAAGCTACTTAAAATAGAACTGTTATTTTATGGGATTCCTTGAAATTATTTTTGTCTTCAAATTAGATTCTCATGCTAAAAAGAGTTGGGAATTAGTGCATTAAAATTTTACCCTCTTTAGAACGCAAGTTAAGTTTTGAGAACCCAACAGACTACTAGAATTCCTGTGCTCACAGAAGGGGGGACTTAGGCAGAGATTTCTAAGGAGAAGAGAAATACCTGTCCAAGCTTTCTCAGGGTGTGATGTATATGAGGATAAGCTTCCAGAATTAATCTCAAGCATTTTGTGTGGAAAAATACAGTATTTGGTTTCCTAGGACAGCCCAATTCTATATTGGCTCTTTCCTGGGGATCAAAGTGAATTAGTACATATGTTTTAGAAAATAAATCTTGATATTCTGAACCTGCTAACTATTCATCATAATTCAGTAATTGATAGTAAAAATAATAATAGCCACATTTATTAATGGCCTATTGTTTGTTGGGAGCTTCATGTTTATATTTCCATAACTCAACAGCTTTGCATTTTACAAATTGAGGAGACTTATAGAGGTTTAATAACTCGCCCAAATGACAGGCAGATTTGGGATTACCATCCAGGCTTGTCCATTGCCAAAACACTTGCTTTGTGCACACCACCTCCACGGCTCTCTGCCTCACTGCATTGTCGTCTGAAAGGTCTCTGATTTCTCCCAACTACTTCCACCAGTCGCACACTATTTAAAATTTATACCACTAGAGAACAAGGGTTGTAAGTATCACTTTACAAAAAAAATGAGGAGGGATCCCTGGGTGGCGCAGCGGTTTGGCACCTGCCTTTGGCCCAGGGGGCGATCCTGGAGACCCAGGATCGAATCCCACGTCGAGCTCCCTGCATGGAGCCTGCTTCTCCCTCTGCCTGTGTCTCTGCCTCTCTCTCTCTCTCTCTGTGACTATCATAAATAAATAAAAATTTAAAAAAAAAAGATGAGGAAAATTGAGACACTGAGAATTGAAGTGACTTTCTGAAGATCACAAAGCCATGGGTAGGGCCAAGATTTATCACAAACTCAAGCTCACATTTTTGGGAGCTTCTTGGTCAGTTTTATTTTTTTTTTCTTTCATTTGTTTTTTTATTTTTTCAGCTTTATGGAGGTACAATTGACAAAACTGTAACATATTTAAAGTGTACAAGGCAATGATTTGATAGACATATACGTTGTAGAAGGATTCCTAGAATTGAGTTAATTGCCACATCCATCACCTCATATATTTACTTTTTTTTTTTTTGGTAAGAACATTTAAATTCCATTAATAAATTTTGATTATACAATACAGTGTAATCAACTATAGTCACCATGTATACATTAGATCCTAAGAGCTTATTCATTTTATAACTGCGAGTTTGTACCCATTTACCAATCTCTCCTCAGCCCAAGGCAACCATCATTCTATTCTTTCTATAAGTCTGACCTGCAATTCATTTTATCTCATTGTTTTATTTTGTCTTGGTTTGTTTTGTTTTGAGATTCCACACAGAAATGATACCATGTAGTATTTGTCTTTCTGTCTGGCTCATTTCACCTAGCGTAATGCACTCTAGATTCACTCATGGTGTTGCCAATGGCAGCATTTTCTTCTTTTTTAAGACTGAATAACAATTTTATAAAGAGAGATATATCACATCT